CCCAAAACCAAAACTTTATTGCAGATTCGGGGTCCTCTCGCCGAGCGCAGACCGACCCCGGTTTCAAAAATATGTATATATATATATTGTCACATCACTACAAACTAAAAGAGCGCACTTTGTGGAACAAAGAATAAAAGCAAAAAACAGGCACAGTGATAACATGCAAAAATAAAAATAAAAATAAAAACAAAAAGAAAAAACAAGGGCAGATTGAAACCATTAAATTTCTCATTCTTCTTTGAACTCCACCTCCACTGTGCCTCTCACGTGTATATATATATATCGTCAAATAGACTATATATCGTCACAAATAGAACTGCCCGGTAAACCGTAGGCAGAGAGAGAGAAGAGGACAACAAACGAGGGGCTGTGACAAACTGGTTCGTCGGAGTTTCACCGACTCATCAGGAGGCTGAACCCTCTCTCTCTCTCTATATATATATATCGTCACAAATAGAACTGCCCGGTAAACCCCAGCAGAGAGAGAGAAGAGGACAACAAACGAGGGGCTGTGACAAACTGTTTCGTCGGAGTTTCACCGACTCATCAGGAGGCTATACATATATATATATTTCTGGGCGGTTTTTGGCCCGCCCGGTTTACCCGGGCGGCCCCCGGTTTACCCTGTTTACCCAGTCGACCAGCCCGGCCGGGCCGCGTCCTCACTCAGATAATAATCAATATTAAATAAAAATAATAACAATAAAAAATTGATGCGCTACGGCCAGCCGGGGGGGAAGCGGCCCGGTCGACCGGCCGGTAGGACTGGTCCGGTTCCGGTTGGGGGAGGGGCCCCCAGCCCTACCGGGTTTACAGCACTGTTATTTTCCCTATACAATCAAATATTAAAATAATCTCTAAGACTCTTATTATATTTGGTTCTTTGGTTCTTTGAAATCCATAACCACTGAACAGTAACTTTGGCTTCGATTCCCGTATCTCCTTGAAATCTCTTGTCCTGTGTGTGACATTTTGAGTGCAACTCGCACTAAAATTTGCATCCATCCGGCTCCGGAGTGGGCTCGAAAGAAAGACATGCGGCCACCATGCACACGGCACATGTCATCGTCCTCATTCCAAGGATGCAATGTGCACAAACACTTGTAGTTGATCCTTTTCAGTCCTCTATCCTCCTCTTCGCATGCAAAAACACACAACACAACACAACACACCCTCCCTCCGTCCCCATCCTGCCCTCTACCTTTGTCCTCCGTCCCCATCCTACCCTCTACCTTTGTCCTCCTCAACTCATGGATGCAGGCAGCAGGCAGCAGGCACGCACTCTTGTCTTGATTGCTTTCAATCCTCACTCCTCTCTGCATGGAAAAACCAAATAAGAACCCCCCATCCATATGCTCATCATACCCTCTACCTCCGTCCCCTCTCTTCTACATGCGCAGTTATTCGCACCTCCTTTTTCCTGCTCTCCTCCTCTGCCTTCCTGTTCATCCCCCTATTGCCCCCTCCTCTTGCCATTTCAACACCTTTTCCAACCCCCCTCATGCTATTACAACATTTCATCCAAACCCCCTTCCCCCCCCCTACATCCCCCCTCCCGTTCATCCAGCTCTTTCCCCCTCTTTTACCGCACCCCCTGTCCCCGCTTCCCTCTCACATGCTTTGATGCTTTTCCCCATCCCCCCTCCCCCATCTTCCACACCGTTGTTCCCAACACGGCTCTTTTACCCTTTCCCCTGACACCCTTCCCCTATGATGACACTACTCCTCTCCGGTCCCATCTGCCAGCCCAGATGTGCGGCCAATAAATACCTCATGGTCCCGCCTGCCTGCTAAAGGCCCAGATGCGCCGGCAGACGACCCAAATGGACGGCTGATCTCAAAAATTTGTGATCGGCTGCACATCCGGGCCGTCGCCAGTTCGCCAACAAAAGGCCCAGATCGGCCAACTAATACCTCGAGATTTTTATGTGGTGGGGAAACCACCCAGGGTTGAAACGAACATTGAGAAAGTGGTTATTTTAACTGGGTTCTGACTCTTCTGAGTCTGCAAACAAGTCAAAAATCCCTTTTTTTTTGGTTGGGGGGGGGGAGGGGGGGACCAGCAGGGAGAAGATGCACTCCTGGTCCCACCTGCCGATACTTCAAATGCTTCGCTGCAATTTGTAGAAACTCTGCCATCGCCTTTTGAGCGGCATCTCTAGTCACACATACAACACACAAACACACATGCAGAAAAAACAAAATTCAATAAGGGTGTCGAGGAGGGCAGGGATCGACGGAGATATCATCAGAACAAACACAGCAACAATGCTAAGTGCCTTCAGTCTCTTCTTACAATTTTCATACTCCAAAATCACATCCAACCAAAAAAGAAAAAGGTAAAAAGTACTAAAAACACACAAAGTGCGCCCAAAACTATGCAGCTTCAAAGGAACACGAGACTGCCGAGCATGGAACTCTACTCAACAGTTCCGTCCCCGTAGCGCCGCCCGTATTCTCGCTGGATGGTGGCAGCTTCTCTTGCAGCAAATAAAAGCAATGCTGCCATACGCACACCAGCGGTTGCTTGGATGATGCATCCCACAGCCACGATTACGGCAGTCCCTAAAAGTCCCGTTGTGAGCATGGCAACAATATCAGTTCCATCTCCTTTTCGTGATGATGTATATGTCCCGGTATGGGAAAGTCCCATCGGCTCCAAGACCGTCTTTGGTGTTGTTTTCGTCCGGGACGAGTTCCTGAGTGTAGACTATTGCATAACGCGCAGGACCTTGTGTAGACGTTCACCGGATGGGTATGGCGCGAGGTGGTGCTGACGTTGATACGGGCGATGTTATTGTCCCCATTCTCGCGTGTGCTTTGCAACTTGGGGAGGACGCTGTTCGGGTTTTCGATGAAGTTTGCACCACTTCCTTGTCGAGACGAGACACTGCACAATGTTATTGAACCACCACCATTCCCTGCGAGTGTCTCTTTCCCAACGGGACTTTTGTCTCATGTGTCAATTCCTGCCGAACTGGAACCGTCCTCACTTTGCCTGGCGCCGCCTCCCTTTTCCGTCCGTGGGCGCGACCCTCGATTTTGCGGAAAGGGTTAACCAGTGTGTAGGAACTGGCGGTGTAAGTAGTGTGAGAGAAGTTAAGATGCTGTGAAGTAGTATGTGAAAAGATGGTGAAAAAAAAAAAAAAAAAAGATGGTGTGAAAGAAGAGGATAACGCGTACTTGATCGTAATTGACGGAACTCCAGTAGACGCTGCATCACTCAAGGGCCAACTTTGACTTTGACTTTGACAGCACGAACAGATAGATATCCATGTGCGGACTTCGGGGAAATAGCTAGAGCGCAATGAACTACGTTAAGAACTAAGATGCTGTGAAAGCAGAGAAAAACAGATCCTGGGTTTGTAGTACTTTTTTGTACATGAAAGAAACTCCCCACCGTGTACTCTCCATAAACTCAAATGCGTTCACGCGGAAGAAGCACATAGACATGCGTGTTCGGACTTAACGAATGGCATGAAATGTAACGCCTGATGGAATCAGAGAGAAATGCATAATCCTTCCTTCGTATTCTCCCTAGCGCCACTGATGTTCTCAAACCACTGGTCAGCGAGTTTAGGATTAAAGGTTTAGAGTTCTCCAGGAGTCCAATGTCCAATACACGACTGCAGAAGCGCAGGGTCGACTCCCTGTGCCAGACACGTTTTAGGAATAAGCTCAAATGCGATTCCTTGTGGCGGCAAAGGCAGAATCTGGCAGATATATGATCCTTCTGTCATATCATATTCGAGTCCTTAACACCAGTTTTACGTTTACCAAGAGTCAAGTACAGCATTGCAGAACCGCAGTATCGACTTCCTCTCTCACACACTCTCTCCCGAGACACACCCCTGATGTTCCCAAACCACCAGTACTTATGACCCTTCCCTTGCAAACCTGGAAACACCCCGCACGCCCAAAACAAAAACGAATATGACGCGCACACACACAACAACAACAGAAGGGAAAAAAAAAAAAAAAAAAAAAAAAAACCAACTGGAGCATTCTTCCCTTTTAGCTGGTGCCACCAACCATTTAGCTCTGGTGGTGGACCGTGCCTCAAAAGTCGCGGCGCGTCAACAGCTGCGTGGGAGAAGAATGACTGGGAAACGTACTGGTGGTGGTTTAAAGTGCAGATACCGAACCAGCTGCTTCATATCTGCTTCCACAAACTACCTTCACGAACTGAACTACCATCTTCCACCAAATAGAATGTACGGTCATTATAACTGTATTTGGGGCAACTTTCAGCCTACATACAGAGATAATGACCGTACGTTGTAATCGGAGGGACAAAAAAGAAGGTACACAAACAGCGTCGATTATCCTCCATCTATTCCTGAACTTGAGTGAAGATGTGGCTTAGTTAGTGCGCGTTGAGTTACAGTGTCCCCAATTCATCATACCGAATCCGTGTGTGCAAAAAACTACAAATCAACAGTGACCCAATCTCATCATCGCTATTTTTCACAAGTGGAAAAGTTAAGTTAGTCCAGCAAACAAGAAGAAGAAAGAATCTGTTCAAAAGGAAGAGAAAGGAGGAGAGAAAATAGCAGACCAGAACAAGGATTTACTTTGTTCTCTTGTCCCGCTCCTCAGTGCATATCAATTGCAGAGCCCATGTGTCCTGCATGAAGCCCTGCCACATGGACACAGCACTTTCTTCCACAGAGTGGCTCATAATTCTATGTGCAAGCTCCTCCTCCTGTTATTCCAAAAAAAGACCCCCAAAGGAAATGCACACACCCACACCCACACCCACACCCACACACACACACACACACACTCCTGATGGGTCAGTGAAAGTCCGATGAAATAGTCTGGCACAGTCATGCTTTTCTTGTGGAGTTGTGACTCAATTGGCTGCTGAAGTCCACCTCATACAAGCAGCACCTTTCCAAATAAAACTCACACAAGCTCAGGAGGAATGACTTCCTATATTCAGACTGTGTATACCTGCTCTATTCTCCCCCCCCCCCCCCCCCCCCCCCCCCCCCCCCCCCCCCCCCCCCCCCCCCCCCCCCTCTCTCTCTCTCTCACACCCTCCCGCTCCTTACACCCACCTCAACCCACACTGTTCGCAATATGTCCTTCCAAGTCTTAAGAGAATATAAGCATCACATTCAACCATTTCAGAGTCTCGCAGAATTTATCACATGTGCACAAGGCCACCTCTCCCAGCATACAGTCTGAATCCAGGGGCAGCACAACACATAGACAGCAACAACTGCAGGGCAGCAAAGCAATGCACGGCTTCTGACAAGCACAAACAGGATTGTTCACATGCCATCGAGAAGACTTGTGCACACCCAGTCCACATGCAGATTGCTGGCTAGCTTGCTGATCCCCCCCCCCAAAAAAAGCAAAAAAAAAAAAAAAACTCATGATCCTAGACAATCTGGAAGATGCCATCGACGAGCAAGATTCAATCCAAAGACACAACAACAAGTGATTGCAAACCGTCCCATACAAACACCCTATGAAAAAAAAAAAAAATCCTAGAAAATAATTCGAAATACCCTTAAAGAAACCCAATATACAAATGCCCTTAAAAAAAAAAAAAAAAAAACAAGTACAATGCCCTCGGAAAGCAGGACAATGTTCAGTCGTGCCGATTATTCTTCTGTTCTACAGAGACGATTACCTCAGCAGACTAAGCACACCTGAAAGTGGTCCGAACTTCAAAATAATACAACAAAATAAATAATTCAGAATGTGGAATTAATGTGTTGCCACTAGTACCTCCGAGCCTATTTTCGACAAGTTCTTGCCAGCTCCCGAACTTTCTGGAGGCCGAGCCCGACAACGGCTGCCATTGATAAATGATAAATCTGATCCGCGGCCGTCGTTTCATTTCGGCCTCCTGAAAGGTCGGAGGCCGAGTATTTTCAAACTGACAAAGGTACTAGTGGTAACATTGGTAAGAAAAAAAAAAAAAAAAAAAAAAGTAAAATACCCTGCCATTTTTCTCTCGATCATGCTAGCACAATGGTCAAATTTTTATCGAAAAGAATTGGAAAATGCAAGGAATATGAGTGTGAACGATATACAGAAAACCAAGTTGCGAAATCACACAGCTGTCCAAGTAGTCGTGAACAAGCGGATAGTACAAATGCACCGAGAAAACCATCCATATAGAGCAATACAATGAAGTAATGAGCCAATGTTCAAGCCCGTAGGCCACACCAACACAGTATCCAAAGTCGCTCTTCTCTGTCTGGCGCCCAGCGCCCAGCCTACTCTACCCGACTATCCTACCTACAGCTGGTTCACGCAACAGGCTCACTTCGACTCTCGAAGACCGATGTACATGACTGTCAACACCATAGCCGACCTCTCTTCATGCACCAGGTACGTATCTCGTCACCCTCAATCAGACCTTGATAACCCCACACTCGCCTCCTTCCCTGAAGACCGCCAGATCCCCCGCTGTACCCCCTGGCGCCCAGCAGCCCGGCTATGGCTGCCTGCGCCCCACTGCCCTGCAGCGCCCCACTTCACCTCTATGCACCCCGTCAGCACCCTTGGCCACAGCGCAGCATCAAGCAGTAGTGCAGGAGCACTTCCGCGTTGCCTACGCAGGCCAGCATCCCTGGGCTGGGCTGCCTCACTTCTTTTATCATAGTGGCAGCCTCCTGGATGTTGCATGTGGCCTGGCTGGAAGCTTCCAATAGCTTCCGATTGGGCCTCAGTCCCTGTGCCCAGGCCCGAGACTACAGTTGAGGGCCTGGGCCCCATTTACAGTTGGGCAAGGCCTAAGTCTCCGGACTTGGGCTGTTCGCTGCATCTGTGCAGGGCACCCAGGTAGGTGCGTCGACAGTACTGCTTTTGCAAAGGCTGATGGCCTGCTTCTCAATGTATCAGCCCTGCTTTGTGTGTATGTGCCCAGGCGCAACTGTCAAGGCTTGGGCCAACGGTACGGCGCAGCTTAGTGAGGCTCGCGCGTCCGTTCAACCAACTGGCGTGCTGCAAGAGCCTGAATAACCCCATTTGAAAGTGTCGAATTTAGGCCTTTGACGAATATTCAGGCCCGCCTTCACTTAGGGCGGGCACTTGGCTTGCTGAGGCCTTTGCCCAGAACATGTGATGTCTGATAGGGCCCCGTGAGGGCTTGTTCCTCGCAAAAATAGTTTCAAAAAAAAAAAAAAGTAAAATAGTAAAAATACGACATTAGGGTGTTTTTTTGGAGAAACCTGAACATCACCTGCTGAGCTAAGTGAGCAACAATATTGCTGCTTGCAACATCAAACTGTTCCTTCTCTTCTTGGATATGGATATGCTTCGCTGTTGCGACCGTAATGGCCGCCATGACCTGCAGAACCATCAACCATAGCCATTCATTACTTATTAGGCATTCTGAACGAGCAGACGAACCAAACCTTGGACGTACTGACGGTGATTCTCTCGCCAGGAAGTCTCACCTGCCATCTTCACTGCGCATGAATGGATCAGCAACATTATATCTGCCATAGCCACTCCTGACTCAGTCATTCCGAATGAATGGATGAGCGAGTCAACAAGGGATGGACAGAGTGCCATATACTATCAGCAGGTGGTGGTCCCACCCAGCAGCGGCGGCAGTCTGGTGTTCAGCGGACTTCCCACTTATCAGTGAACACTGTGAACAGGTCATCGATTTCTATTTTTGTTTTCCATGATCAACGAAAGAAGAATGCAGGTGCAAAATCCCATCTAGGGAGTGCAGAAACACAGCAAAAAAAAATGAATACCGCAAAACTAACACCCCCCCAAAGAGTCCCAACGGGCCTAGCTCAGTAGTTGGTACACCCCTGAACTGTTGAAATACAGAGCCAAGTTTGAATCCAGTCCAGATCCAGTCCAGATCCCTTCAGATGAAGAGAACAAAATCATTTTTCGCTGAATTGCCTGGGGCCGGTCAGTTCAATGATGATATCTAAAGGCCGTCGTCCTTTGGGAAAAAAAAAAAAAAAAAAAAAAAGTAAAAAAAAACGAAAAAAATGTGTCCTTCGGGACATCTGCTAAAATTGGAATGATACAGAGAAGATTAGCACGGCCCCTGCACAAGAATGACAAACATAAATCAAGAAATGGCCCAAATATATATAAAAAAGTTAAAAGAAAAACAAGAAGAAGAAAAAAATTCAAAAAAAGTGAAAAAGAGAAACCTGACTCAAAGACGGATATTCGTCGGGAGTTCGTCCACATCATTACTTCACAGTTACTTAACTAAGTTAACTTTCGTAAGTTTCGTTATTTTTTTGCAGTAACGACGCAGTTACATTTTCCACAGCTACTTTTTGCACAGTTACTTTTTCTTTCACAGTTACTTTTTCTCACAGTCACTTTCTTTCACACATACTTTTTTTTTCCCCACAGATACTTTTACTTCACACTGTTCGCACTGCTTTTTCACAGTTACATTTCAGCAGTTACTTTTTTTTTCACAGTTACATGGTAACTTACATCTTTAGCATATTCAAGAACAAGACATCCGTTAAAATTGGAGCGATGCAGAGAAGATCACCATGGCCCCTGCGCAAGAATGACACGGAAAAAAAAAATAGGAAAAAAAAAAATCCAAAGGACAAGCATTGAGCCGAATGGGACACACATAGAAGACTTGATGGAGAGGTCAAGAGTTCAAAATCACAAAAATTCTGCCTAATACCGGACTGTGTGGGAGGGCGGGAAGAGTGGGCTTTCCACAAAAATCCTGCCGAATGCCAGACTGCCGAGGGCGGCTGGAGGAGTGGGATTTTAAAGTTTAATGCCTCATATTGAAAAAGAGACCAACGATTAACAGTAGCATTGGCATCCTGAACTGTTCCTGCTACATTCGTTACATCCTCGTTGTTTATAAAAGGTACAACTTTTGCGTAAATGATCGGTGCGAACTGAGATATACGAAAGAGGGCATCAAAAAGAGGCAGAGAAGGGAAGGAACGTGGGGCCACAAGTCAAGCTGGACTTTGGGAACCCACCGAAGGAGAGGGAGCATGAGAGAGAGAGAGAGAGAGAGAGAGAGAGAGAGAGAGAGAGAGAGAGAGAGAGAGAGAGAGAGAGAGAGAGAGAGAGAGAGAGAGAGAGGCAAGTCCAAGGGAAGAATGTGTACAGAACTTCGGCTTTTGAAATCTAGCCACAAGTTTTACAATGATATAACCAACCTCCTTCAGTTCGGCTTCCAGTGCCTGCCTCCTCTTGTCCAACGCAATAACTTCTGCAGAGATTACCTAACACAAAGATGATTCAACGCCGCATGGTAAGCCAAGTGAAAACGAGAGACGAGAGACGATCAGCTACCAAGACTGTTCTCAATGCTTGTATTTTGCTGTGAACTGATCACTTAGCCTAAATAACTTCAATTCATTTCGGATTACGGAACATGGTTATTATTGTCAAAGTTAGTCAAACCCTTCTTTCCCAAATGTGGTGCCGAGACTGGAATACTCGCATCCGCGTAATCGAGACCACTTATCAAGTAATATCAACCCAAAAATGGCCCAATATATCGCAACTCCGAGTCCCATGTACCGCCGCATCCCATGATGAACACCCCCCCCTCTCCAGGGCTTCTTCAAAGGGCACACCCCAGTTCCCATCCAATTTGAAGCGTTTAGTCCATACTTGCAAGCGCACGTCATGTGCCATTCGCGAACTGGTGGCGTACTTACAGACAGCACATGCTGCGGCGGACTGCGTGTTCACGCGCTAGAATAGAAAATGAAAAAAAAAAGGAAACAAATCTGGAAACCGCAGAAAAAAGAATATGCGATCTACGACGTCATTTTCAGCAGCTTTTGGCTGAGACACTTCGCCCAAACCTTATTCTTCAATTTACAAAATTTTACAAAAGCCTAACACTAGCTTCCAATCAGGTGGTCTCACCCCACCCCACCCC